CTGCTGCAGAACATCTGGTGGAGATCCTCTGTTTCGAGCTCTCCTGTCGGCATAATAAAACCACCTCCACAAGCAGCAGCCGCTGTGTTGGTGGGAGAAGCTCTCCCACTGACATAGCACTGTCCACACCAGCGCTTATGTCAGTGTAACTTATGTCACTCGGGGGGGGGGGGGTTATTCACACCCCTGAGCGACATAAGTTATACTGACATAAGCTGTAATGTCGACATAGCCTTAGTTATAACTTGAATGTGTGTGGTTTAGCTCCAAGCCACTGGTTCTTGTTCTGCCTTTCTCTGCAAAAGAGCCCTTTGGTATTCAGTATTTTCTCCCTGTGAAGGTGCTAATACACGTCTATCAAGTCACTTTCATTCTTTTTTTTCAAAAATAAGCTAAACAAATCAAACTCCTTAAGGCCCTCACAACAATGTAGTTTTCCAGCTCTCCAATCATTTCTGTGGCTCTCATTTAAACTCTCTTCAGTTTAACAATCTCCTGGACATCAGTATTCCAGTATCAGTCTCACCAACACCGTATGCAGAGGTAAAATCACCTCCTTACTCCTGTTTATACATCCATGGGTGTAGCTCTTTTGCCACAAAATCTCCAGGGGAGCCCATGTTCAGAGTCACTGCTTTCCAGGACACAGTGCCACATTCTGTACAAATAGCTCTGAGGCCTTCCTGTGCACCTCATTCTTCCTTGCACTGCTCCAAGACCCCAGCACATTCCTTACCCCCGGCTCCGACTCCAACCTTTACTCTTGACACTGCTCAGAGTCTGCCAGCGTTCCTGCCCTCACGCCTATATCTCTGAATAACCTCACAGCCCCTGCTGCTCGGAGACCCCTCCAAATTTGGGCCTAATGAGTGGAAACAAATCTGTTAATTTTTGTGTCCTTAGCTAGTTATTCTTCAAATTCTTTCTTGGCCTACCGAATTATACTCTTACACTTCACTTGTCAGAGCTTATACTCCTTTCTATTTTCTAGCACTAGGATTTGACTTCAATTTTGTGCCTCTAGCCACATCTTTTACTCTGAGGGTTAGCCGTGGTCGCATTTTTTTGGTGTCTCATTAGGTTTTTTTTGTTTTTTTAATTGATTTCATTAGCAGCAATACTTAATTTTGTATTATGTATTTATTTATTTATTTGCTTTGTTGTAGTACCTAGGAGCCCCAGGCATAGACCAGGACCCCTCTGTGCTAGGTGCTGTACATTATTATGGGTATTTATTGGGTATATTACAGTAGTACCTGGGCACCCCAGTCATTGACTCAGAGCCTTCTAGTCCAAGTACTGTATAAACACAGAACAAAAGGACAATCCCTGTCCCTAGGAGCTTGTATTATCACCCCTCTCCAGGGAAGTTTCTGTCAGGGAAATATTCTTCTCCTATAGACACTTCTGGGTCAGACAATGCAATTTTTCATTCTAAGTCTGGTCCATCACCTTCACTCCCTGGGGTTGCTGTTCAAGGACCCCTGGAACTTTTCCCCTAGTAAGTAACCCTGCCCCCTAAGCTAGAGGTGGCCGATCTCCTGTCCTCCTCCCTTAACAGCAACAGACAGGACTGCACCTTCTGGCAGCCTCCATCTGAGGCCTGCCATGCACAGAGGGGCTGGGAGAGGGTAACTGTGGCACTAGCTTTTCAGAAGCAAATTCTTAGGCCTTTTTGACACCGACAACTTCCCCTCACAGCCAATCTTATATAAGAAACTTTCTCTCTTTGTCTGTTTTCCTGATTTCCATGTCCCCACAGGAATCCTCAGCCACGGCTCACTCTCCTTACATCCCAGATGTATGGGGAGCAAAGCAACACCAGTCAGCAGCCCCTAAGGAAACCCACAGAGACAGGGGGCTAGTCCAGTTGTCTAAATACCAGGTCTTATTGTTCTGTAAAAGATCTTGGTGTCCCCAGAAGAATTCCAAACATAAATGTATCCCAGATATAGGACAAGGAGAGTAGTTCATATGAGAAATCCTAAACTGAAAACCAGCATCTCCACAAAGAATCTCAGCCTATGTACACCAGTACACAATTGTGACTCTGGCTGAGTCTTACCAAGGGACAAAGGGCCAGATTGTCAAAGTTATAGATGCCCAAAGAGGCAGATAAGGTCTTAGTGGGATTTTCAAAAATTCTTAAGCAAGTTAGGCACCTAACTTCTATTGAAAATCAAAATGAACATTTTGGGCATTAGCAATATGTTGTCATGAAAAGTTTCCTTTTGTAAAAAGCTTTTTTTTTAAAACCAATAAATAAATAAAAAGTGTAGACTAGATCCCCCTCATACACAGTCCTGACCCCCTTGTCAGACACTGAGCCTTTGGTTTCTACTTCAGAAGAGGGCAACATGTCTCCTAAACTCACCGGCACTGGTATGCTGGAAAGGGAAGGTGAGAAAGGGCGGAAATCCAGTCACCCACTCACACTGGTCTCTCCCATGTCATTTTTCAGAATAAGATAAATGAACACTACGGGACTGTGCTGAGCAAGAACAAAATCACTTCCCAAGAGATCTGCCAGACCCTGCTCTCCCAGCTGTCAGCTGACATGGAGAAAAAGCTCAGAGATGGGGTTTACATGCAGCCTGGTGGGCATGAGGTGTATGTGAAAGACCAGAAACAAGTGGTGGAGAGTTTCCAGAGGACACCCAACAAAGGAGTCATGGTGAGTGATCAGCAGGGCCAGCAGAGTTATTCAGGGGAGAGCTGGAGCACTTTGGCTTTTGTATGCTCATGAACAGTTCACAAACTGTGTGCCTATGAAAGAACATCATATTTGGCTGTGTGCATACACTGCATGTTAGATGCCTGGTTGAGTGTTGCCAACTCCACATAGAAGCAAGTCATCAGAGAAACCCTGAAAATTCACTAGGTGTTACTATTTAAGCATTCCAAATGTGTCAAAAATGTCACTAAACAAAATGTCCACAGAGACCGGCCAGAGATTGATATATACACTCACACATGGGATGGTAAATTTTCGTTATGATCTCAATACTGAAATAATGCATTAGTGTATATAGAAATTCTATATATATCACTAAAAATGTTTTTAGACTGTAAATAGTATTCTAACTGGTGTTTGTCATAGGATTTGTCTACACTGGCAATTGAACAACAAAAGTTTTGTCTTTCAGAGGTGTTAAAAAAAACACACTCTCAAAAAGACAAATTTTGCCGACGACAAGCACCGGTGTGAACAGTGATTTGTCGGCAGGAGCGCTCTCCTGCCAACAAAGCTAACCCCGCCCTTTGGGGGTGGAAGTTTTTTGTCAGCAGGAGAGCTGACAAACAGCAGCTACACTTTGTGACTTTTAGCGGCATGGCTGTAGCGACACAGCCGTATCGCTAAAAGCTGTGTAGTGTAGACATAGACATAGTTTTTAAGGAATGAATTGCATTTGAGGGCTTGGCCTCATAGGCGCTGACTTCATGGATGCGCCGGGCAAGCGCTGGGAGGGAGGGGGAGGAGGGGGAATGCAGCGCGCTGGGGTAAGAGGTGGGGCCAGGGCGGGGATTTGGGGAAGGGGTCCAATAGGGGCAGGGAGTGGGCAGAGTTGGTGCAGGGACTTTGGGGAAGGGGTTGGAATGGGGGCAGGGCGGGGCGGGGGAAAGTTGGTGCCTATGCTTGAGCTGTGAGGCTGTGAATGAGAGGAAGGGTTTGACTGGAGCTCTGATGGCAGAATAAATGCTTAGCAAATAACTGGGGCTCAGCTTCGATTCCTTGGTGGTGGGGACGGGGTGAAAAGCCAGATCTAATGGGGAGGGGAAGCTGAAAGATGGGAGGATACAACTGCCCCAGGGGGAAAAGTTATGAACTTCTACAGGTAGTGGAGTGTTAACTCAATGTGTTAACCTGGGGTAAAATGGATAAAAGTAGGCTCGGTGTTTATTGTGTGGGTGAGCTGTTGAGCAGTGCTTGAATAAACTGCAATTAGGGTTGGATAGAGATTAATTAACATGTGAATGGCAGGGTGTAAAATAGTTCCTAACCCTCTGTGACGGGTTGGATCACAGAAACCCCCCTGGGAGCTGCCACCAGATGTGCAAAGACTACCCCTGCTTCTGTTTTCCCTGCCAGCTCAGGACTCCAGCACCCTGTCTTGCTGAGCCAGACACTTCCGTCTGGCTCCAGACACAGACCCAGGGTCTGAATCACTTGTCCCAAAGCTGCAAGTTTACCTTAAAACAGCTCGCAGTAGCGTGCTTGT